CAAACAATAGGCCTAAAATGTTCACTCTCTCCATGTCAATATATGACAAAGCTATTTTTCCCCAGATTGTATTCTGAGTGTCTTCCAACCTGAAAGGATCATCTTCTGGACATTATGTCAGATAAGTTCCACTGCTATTCACTGGTCCAATTTTTTCAGAAGTTGATTTCCTGATCTTCCTTTCTAGTCTATCATAGTCTGGAAGCTCTGTTAAAGGTTAAACACTATAAGTAGGTCTGCCAATATTTGAAGTGCAAGTGTGGCACCTTCCAGCATCACAGTAACATGCAATCTACCATAGTACCAAAAATATGGCAGAGGAATGATGTTAATCTGCATAATCTTCCCATCTCAATATTCTTTTGCCTCCTAAAGTTGCACAGGCATATGTCCCAGGAATTAATTACTGACATCTTTAAAAGTCATCATTCAATCTGCCATAGGGAGTAAATAAAGTACTTGTTGCCTCTGTTCTTTAATTGTCAGCATGATGACTGCAGTAGTTTCTATTCCTTCAGGTTGCTGTGAGAGTTAAATAAAAGCCAATGCACTAAAAACTCCGTGGGAATGACCTCTAGACCAGGTGATATAAGACTTCCAGAAATATTAGTAAGCAATGTGTATCCTATGATCCATGTTGTTGAAGGAAATAGATTTCAAACAAGCAATCAGAAAGATAAGTGTACACTTTCAAATCATAAAAAGTAATATTGAGACAAGGTCAGTGGCTGTGGGAAATAGTTACACACTCAACTGCTAAATGAAAAATTACAGGTTTGAATCCACCCAGAGAAGTATTAGTGGAAGGTCTGTAGATTCAAATCTGAAAATCAGCTATTGAACTAGTCAAACACCAGTAACTGTGGCTTTTAATCATCCTTGGAACGTGGAACTTACTATGTCCAAGGATCAATCTGCAGCCGAGTAATAGTTAGGCCTCCAAAGTGCATAATAACCCCAGGGCGGAATATATTCCTCAGGAAAAATCAACTCTGGTGGAAACAAAAGGGCACTGATTTTCCAAAAACGAAGCTCAGAATGCAAGAAAAGACTGAAGTAAAAGGAAGGGAACTGATAAAGCCAAGGAAGAAGTGAGAAGAGTATTTTTACATTGACAAACAGGATTACAACTAATGTCATGAGACAAAATGTGTATGAATTCTTGAACAGAAATTTAATACAATCTGGAAGCTTTCATCTAAACCATAAATGAAAATGAAGAAAGATAAAAGTAACCATTGAATATGCTAATGGGAAACACTTCTACTCTGACACAACACATACTAATGTCATCAGTTAAAACTGATTTATGGTAAATGTTTTACATAATTTTTACATATTTTTTCTTCTCAATATTCAAGAATGGGAATCCCAGAACACTTAATTGTGCACAAATGGAATCTATACCTAGACCAAGAAGCTGTTGTCCAAATGGAGCAAGAGAACTCTGGATGGTTTAAAACGAAGGAATGGTGTGTGTCCAGATTGTATTCATTCTCCATACTTATTCAATTTGTGTGCTGAGCAAATCATTTGAAAACTGGACTCTGAAGAAGAACATGACATCAGGGTTGGAGGAAGACTCAGCAACAACCTGTGCTATGCAGTTGACAAAACTTTGCTTTCTGAAAGCAAAGAACATAAGAAATGCTTGCTGCATTATTATCAAGGACTGCAGCCTTCGACTGTTTCTATTGCTTGGATCCACAATCAACCCACTTGGTACCAGTAGCCAAGAAGTAAGAAGATATTTAGCAGTGGAAAAAAACTGCTCTCAAAGACCTTTCAGAAGAGCTAAGGAGGAATGATTTTAAAGACCAAGATGTACCTGATTCAAGCCATGATCTTTTTGATTATTTGATACGTATCTGAAAATTGGACAGTGAATAAGGATGACAGAAAAGGAATAAATGCCTTTGAATTGTGAGGTTGGAGAAGAGTACCGAATATCCCATGGACTGTTTACACTTTCTCCATGTCTTGGAGAAAGCGCAAACAGAGTACTCCTTAGAGACAAAGATGGCAAGGCTCTATCTCATGTACTACGGCATGTTGTAAAGGAGGGACCAGACCTTGGAAAAGGACATCATGTTTGGAAAGGTGTAGGGTTAGTGAAAGAGAAGACCCTCAACAAAGTGTATTGACACAGTGAATATAGCAATGGGTCCAAGGATATCAGAGATGGCGAGGCTGGTACAGGATAGAGCAAAGTTCAGATCTTTTGTTCATGGGATCACTATGAGTAGCACTCAACTTGATGACACCTAACAACAACAACAACATAGTGTATACTTGGTATGGGGAGTGCAAGGAGTGCCTTAGCTATATGGATTTGCACTGCCAACTCAAAAGGCATGTTGTTCAAATCCACCAGCTACTTGTTGAAGAAAATGGGCAGTCTCCTCCTATGCAATTTGCATCCTCTGAAAACCCACTGAAAGGGTCAGCTCTGAGTTGATTTCAACTCAATAGTATGTAACAGAAACACATATAGTAAGAAAATGACATTTTTCCATGTTAAAGCCAACCACTATTAATATTTTTGTCTTGGTTAAACTAAAATAACTGAGACAATGATCAAGGGGGAAGACCAAATTCCACAGGTAATGTTTCCATTTAAGTCCTTTAATAGTACTCTTCCATAGAAAAGCAGGAGCCACAGCAGGCCTACTTGATCAAGTGAACACAACACTTCATCTAGCAAATTCTTTCTTTGGAGGAAGTTTTTTCCAAGATGGTAGGATCCTAGTCTTTCACTCTTCAGATGTAATCTTTCACAAATTCCATTTGTCTTTGTCATCAAAATCTGGCTAGAATCTCATCAGTACTCATCACTTCCAAAGGGGCTTCCTTGTTGAGCTTTCATCATCTCTTCACAGGGTTATTTGGAATGCTTCCTAAATTTGTTTTCAAGTTTACCCTTACTCCTCCTGCTTTCCTAAAGCTATCCTTTACTAAGAAGTGACAATGATCTTTTAAAAGTATTTTTTTAAAAATGAAAAATATATAATCACTTCAGTAATGACTACATATTGCCTTTAGGGTGAAACTTAATGCATGATAACAGCCAGCAAGCTCATAGAAGAGCTGACTGCCACTTCCCAGTGCTTCTTTACTTTGGCTTTATCTCTTCCCACTTCCTCCAGTTCACTCTCCCCAGTTGACTAGGTCCCTTTTTGTTGTACATGTGCTCCTGGCATGCTCTTGTCTTTGACTGTCGGTGCTTGCTAACCCTCCTGCCTAGAAAACCCTTCTTTCAAGTTCCAAGGCTCTATCCTTCAGTGCTTTGTATAAAGTCACTTTAAAAGAAAAGATTCTCCTCTGCCATTTCTCTGCAACTCTGCTTTATTATTTTTCTGTCACCCTGTATATTTTAAATATATGTATATATAATTTTTTTCCCCTATTGCCTAATACTCTCAGCAGGCTATAAATACAATTAAGATAAGGCAGAGATTTTGTTTGGTTTGGTTTACTACTGTCTTCCCAGTTTCTAGGAAAGTGCTGGCTCATGGCAGAACTTCAATAAATATTTGTTGAGTAAATGTGTAAAAGAAGTAATGAGTGAATAAACAAAAAGAGTTTCCTATTTTCTAGAATTATTTTCCTCATATTATTTATCTTTGTGTAAGTTTTAGGCATGTTTGAATAGTTCAGAAAACTCAAGCCAAACATATTGCCATCAAGTCGATTCTACTTCATAGCAGCCCATACAGAGCAAAGGAGAAGGTTTCTGAAGATTTTTCAAAATCTTTATGGGAGCAGAGTGATACATCTGTCTTTCACAGAGGATCTGGCAACTTCTCTTAAAGACACTAAGCTTTTGGTTAGCAGTCAAGCATTTAACCAATGTGTCACCAGGGATCCTCTAAAGTCCTAGAGGAAATCTAAAACCACCCTTACTTTCAAGAAGTACTATAAACTGAGCCAGATATAAAGTCCATAAAGAGAAGTCTCTGGAGTTGTTTGGGTTGGGTTTGTTTTTGGTTGTTGTTGTGTTTTGTTTTTTTTAATTGATATTGGTTTGCATACAAAATTCATACACATTTTGTTTCATTTATATATATTATGTTTCACACATCCCTTCATTTACATTGTGTTTCATATGATTATATTTCCAGCTCCAAATAAATGCAAGTGTTTCACATAATCAGCCTGCCTGAATATTGTAGAAGGTGGGAAGAGTAAGTGTAATTCTTCTGGAAAATAGTATTATTCTGGAGATGTCAAAATCAGTTTTAAAGGAAAAAGGTCAACCCGTTCCTTTTTGGTGTTATCTACATAAAGAATCTGATTAATTCTTTCTCCCTTCTGATGGCCGTTATTATTAACATACACACAAGCTTAGGGTGATACTGTTTTGTCTTCACTACCACCTTAGAATTTTTATCCACTGTTGCTAGATTATCACTTGTACATTGTCTCTGAACAGTGTGCTTTCAGGCTATATCTTGTCTTTGTGCTGCAGAAAAGCTCTCTCTGCCTCGAATAAAACAAACTCCAAAGTATCCTCCTTAATTATTAGTAGCTCTCAGGTTACCCTGTATAAGCTATCCAAAGACAACTAAAAAGGGCTGTTAAATGTTTGGATTGCATTTTTAAGGTCTTCTCTGTTCCCACTTCTGTTTGGAAATATTTTTTTGAGAGTTGAAAGCACCTTGCTTGGGCCTTATCTTTGCACTTTGCTGGGCTTAGCTACTTTTGAAACCAGGATCCAAATCTGTACACTCATGTTGTCACAGGTGGGGTAAAAAGTTATCCCCACACCCCTGCATCTGATGGCTGAAAACAATTTTGAGTAATAGTTTGCACAAGAACAGAATATTGGCAACTCAACTGTTAAAGCTGACTGTGGTTATTCTTCCTGTCCACCACTCTGATGTCACCAGTGTAATCTGAGCCTGGAACTTTGACTCACACTTTAAATAGCAGTCCCAGCATGATTTTGCTACAGACTCTCTGGAAAGCCAGGGAACCAAATTCCCGAAGATCTCACATAGATGAAAGCAAAGCGAAGTCACCAAGACAACACCATGTCCACTTCGCTCAGAGTCAGCCCATCCATCCACGGCTACCACTTCGACACAGCAGCTCGCAAGAAAGCTGTGGGCAACATCTTTGAAAACATAGACCAAGAATCACTACAGAGGCTCTTCAAAAACTCCGGCGACAAGAAAGCAGAGGAGAGAGCTAAGATCATTTTTGCCATAGATCAAGATTTGGAAGAGAAAACGCGAGCCTTGATGGCCCTGAAGAAGAGGACGAAAGACAAGCTCTTCCAGTTTCTGAAACTGCGGAAATATTCTATCAAAGTTCACTGAAGGCAGAATGGATTCGGAGAACGGACTTTTAAAGACCCAAAGTGAGTTTATGAGACTCTAACGTAAACAGCGTCTGACTGCTGCCTCACAAGCTCCTGCTCCCTGTTCCATCAGGACTCTGGAGCTGGGAAAGGAGCCGGACTAACTGGTTCAAATGACTCAATTTCATGCACGGTGTCCCGCCCGAGGTGGAGAGCAAACTGCTTTCAGCAAGGATTGGAAGCTCTCCCTGCAGGGCAGGACTGATGCTGGTGTCAAAGGAAGAGTCTGAGTGTGGACAGATGTAATAAGAACTGAAGAAAACAGATGGCGTGAGAAGAAATGCATCCAGGGTCACTTTGTCAGACCCTAGGACTTATATTCAACCTGAACTTTTTTTTTTAATCAAACCGGTTTAGGGGAGGGTAAAGGGAGAGGAAGAATAGGAAAAGAAAATATACTATGTTCAAATGTTTACTGAAATTTTCTATCTGAATGTTCAAAATGTGGCCTAGCCTCAATGTTATCTGTTGGTGGTCTAGCATTTTAAAGATCAGTAATTGATTATTTATTTGCATTCATGTAAATGACTGAATTAGTAGACCACGTAGGTGTAAGGAGGACACATCCAAGAACTTACAATGGCTTTAGCAGCTTGGATGACCCACATGCACCTTCTGGTTTGTAAAAACTTTTATGCATTTGAAACTGGTTGCACAAACTTATAATAATGGGGTTCTTCATAAATCCAAAGTACTGTGAAAGAAATTATAATTTTTTTAAATATTCTGACTAATGCTAAAATATAATCTCATGAAAGTTCTTACAGTTATTGCATTAAGCATTAGGAAGTGGTTACTATACACTAAATAGTTTCAACAGATGCTATTGTCTTTATAATTTATTATACATGGCAAGTGACATGCAACCTTAATAAATTATTATAAACTTAGCTGTTCTTGTTGTGTGATGCTTGATCTCAAAGGGAAAATAGGAAACTAAATTTTGGATTATTGCTAATTTATCTAAGAAATTAACTCTAAGAATAAAATGGGCTTTTAGAGTAACTTTGCAGTAAGTGCCAAAGTATTTTAAAATGAATTTTTGCATCAAATATTTAGGAAGTTTCTCTACCTCAGCTTTAAAACATAAGATATACACATAGAAATGTACAGACTGACTCATCAGCATTGTTGCTTATATATATCCTTTGAGAGGGGTTTTTTAAAAGGCTTTTCTCTCCATATTTTTGAAATGTTTCCTCTGTGACACAGTAGCTCTCTACATTTGTAAAAAACTCATTTTAAACCAGAATACAGTGTTACCAAGCAAGAATTTACTTTTCCGAAAACATTGTATTTTGGTGTTAGGCAGTCTGAATTATAATCAAGATTCTGAGGATTATCATTGTTTATTTAATGCAGACCAACGTGAGAATAACATTTCAGTTTTTTGTATATATCCTCATAAAATTATAATAAAGCCTTTCTAAAGAGGCATGTATCAATGCCTGTTGCACTTTCCTAAGAAGAAAAACTAGAGAGAGGTTCTCCAGAAATTAAGCATTTCAGAAACACCTACAAAGGTTTTTGAAAATACTGATCAGAGTAAAGCAGAAAGTAAAGTGAATTACCTAAAATATTTCAGGAGAGGTACAAATCAGGGTCTTAAAGAATTTATGTAGTAAAATTTATTTTCGAACGTTAATTTTTTTACATTGACTCTTCTTGAAGACAGTATAACAAATTATTTTATTCTAAGGAAATTTTTTACATGTAAAATTTTGTATGTGTATTGCATATGTGTATTTTTCTAGGAGGAACATTCATAGATTCATCACATTTGCCTAAACAAAAACAACAAAAATAACAAAGCTTAAGCACAAAATAAAAAGGATCTTTGAGAGTAGTGATGGAAAATGAAAAAAACCTTACAGAATTCCTCTCTGCCCAGTGACCTGTTGTTTCCCCTGTATTGAGCACTGGGCTTTCTTGCTAACCTCTCTTAGAATACTAGAACATTTTCTTTTTCTTTCTCTCTCTCCCCCCCTCTTTGTGGGTGTGTGCACGTGCAATAAATTTCCCATACCTGATAGGACCTTCAGAGGCACATTTCCTCTCTTAATTTGTAATCTCCAAAAGACATTTACAATCTTCCTGAGGGGAAAGACATTGACAAACTTGCCTTCCCAGAATACCTCTTGCACTCCTTGTTTCCAGCAAGAAAGCTTAAATCTTTTATATCCAAAAGACTTCAGGCTCTCATTGGCTGCTGAACACAGTTCAAGAGTATTACATATTATATTTGTTCTTATCAATTTATTCTTTCTCTGCTACCATCAAGGGGAACTCTGGTGGCCTAATAATAGTAAGAAGCTACTTGGACAACTCAAAGGCATGCAGTTGGAACCCACTAGCTGCTCCTTTGGAAAAAGATGGGCAAACTCTTTCTATGTGATTTATTGCCTCTGAAAACTTGCTGGAGGGTCAGCTGTAAATTTGTTGTAACTTGAGAGCACATAACAACAACAATGTATATAACCTGTCCTCTTTTCACAGAGTTGTTGTTGCTATTAAGTCTACTATTATTATTCGTGACCCTATCAGGCAGAGGAGAAAGGCCCCAAGCTATTTCCTAGGCTGATCAACAAGCCACTCTCCTGGGATACATAAAGTAGATCGCCTGCTGAGCCCATGATGGGTTCAAACCACCAACCCTTCAGTTAGAAATATAACAGTTAGAAATGTTAGAGCTGTAACTGTTCATTGAATTACCTAGACTCCTTCTTTGCACATTTAGGGAAATGAACCCTTTTCCATCTGGTCAATTCTGGCTCACAGTAACCCTTTAGGACAGAGTAGAACTGCCCCACGGGGTCTCTAAGTCTGTAAAGCTTTACAAAAGCAGGCTGCCAAGGGAGTAGCTGGTAGGTTTGAAGCACCAACCTTTCAGTTAGCCAGCAAAAGCTTAACTACTTCACCATCAAGGATCATTCCCTTTTTACATTGACATATACTGAATTCATCTTATAGTATACTACATTAGCTTCGACTTTTAAAACTGTAATGTGGGAAATCAATGATAAAGAAGGTGAGAGTCACTACACACAAATACACCTCATGACATACCACAGTAAAAGAAGGAATAAAATCAGTGACATGTGAAATAGCTCATTAATAATACCTGTATGATTAGAATTTTAATGCTAAGTATTACTTTAACTGAGTGCTTCTGTTTGCAAGTTTTTAAGTGCTAAATCAAATAATTAGTTCTAAGGTTATATAAAAGCAGGTATGTGAAAGTGAAGCACAGAGAGGTAAAGTAACTCACCTAATATCACACAGCTAACAAGTACAGGAATCAAATCCAAGAACATTTGCTTTAGAACCTCCATTTCTAGCTACTAGGTTAGACTACTTCTATGTGGAAATTTGAGCTCTGGCGACATAGGGCACAGTCTAGAAGGTGTTGCAGTGTTAACCAGCATGCTGTGTCTCTAGTGGTTCCAGTTCACCAGCTACTCCTCGTGAGAAATATGGGCAGTCTCCTTCCATTACAATTATAGCTTTAGAACCCCAGGGCAGGCCTGCTAATACTTGCAACTGATTCAACAGCAGTGAAGATTTTTTTTTTAAATTTTCACAGTGATATTTATGCTAGTAAGTCAGAATGGCAGGATGACATGCTGTTGTTATTATGTGCTATCAAGTTGCCTATGGCCCATAGCAACCCTATGTTCAACAGCTCTGAAGTCTGTCCTGTCATGAGTCAGTTTCACTGACTCTTACATACCAACCCCCATTACTTCAGTTACTGTATCAATCTATCTCAATCTATCTTATGAAGGGTCTTCCTCTCCTGCACTTTCCCTCCACCCTTCCCAGCATGAGGACTGGTCCCTTCTGGCACTTTCCCTCCACCCTTCCAAGCATGATGTCCTTCTCCAAGGACTGGTCCCTTCTGGCCACATACTCAAAGTATGTGAGTCAGTTCTTCAAAATCCTAGGCCCCGAGGAGAAACCTGGTTTCACCCTCTTCAAGATAGAGCTATTTGTTTTTTTGGTGGCCTATGGTATGTTCAAGACTCTCCTCCAGCACCACAACTCAAAGGCATTGATTCTTCTTCTGTCTTCCTTAGTCACTGTCCAGCTCTCTGATGCTTACCAAGTAATTGTGAAGGTCGTGGCCTGGATCAGGCTCACCTTAGTCTCTAGACTGACACCTTAGTCTAGAGACAGGGTGGCACAGAATTGGGGAAATAACCCTCACCAGGGCTATGTAGATTTGTTTGTTTAGCATTTTTTGGTGGGGAGAAACCTTCTTAGTTTAGTAATTTAATGTATTAAGATTTTCTCCAATGCAGCCTTTCAAGGCAGAGGTTAACACTTGGATTACCATCTTGGAGTAATACAGTCTCTTCCATGCCATGTAGTCCATTTTGACTCACAGCAACCCCACAGGCAAAGTAGAACTAGTTGATAGAATTTACAAGGTTATAATCTATATGGAAGCAAAGTGACACATCTTTCTCCAGTGGAGTGACTAGTTAGAACTACTTGCTAACTATTCCGCCAGTTGTCTTTGAGTCTCAGTTTGTTTATGGAAGAAATCAGAAAATATGAGTGTATGTTTTTATACATTTGCTGCAGAGCTCACAGTTCATCACACTGGCCCACAGCACAGGGGATCTATATTTGTGAACGTCCATATCTGTGATTGTCTCCAGCTGATGAGGTTACTGAGAAAGAGATCCTCCAAGACCCAGGTTGCTGTTGTTACTGTGGGAGCCATGAAGTCAGTCAGTTTCCAACTCACAGTGACCCCCTGTGACAGATTGGAATGGTCCCACTGAGCTTTCTAGTTTGTAACATTTACCTGAGCCGTATTTGACTCAACAGAACCTAGCAACAACAACAACAACCTTTACCAGAGCAAATCACCAGTTATTTCTCATGCAGACTACTATGTGGATCCTAAATACACCCTTTCTGTTAGCGATTGAGTACATCTCCATTTTGCTA